ACTTATTAATGACGTTTTAATGTTGTTGGTCAATAGTGCCAATTAAATCTGAAGTATTCATTATACTGACATTCTATTCAATGTCAGGACAGATGCGACATGGACAAGTGTGAATTAAAAAATTATCAGCAGAAGGTAAAGTACAGAAAGAACAATTAGTAGGAGAACAATACATTTATTAAAACATGTTAGATAGATTTCAAAGTACCCTGGTCAAATTAATGTCAACAAGTACAGAAATGTTAGCCATTAAAAACATATTTAATTCAATTACAATTAAATTTTAACGTATCACTCTTTAGCACTTAAGCATAAGTCTATAAATCTCAATCTACTTTAATTTTTCTGGAATGTGAGCTAGAGTTAATTGATATTGAAGTACTGAGTTGTGACTTTTTCTTCCAATTGATAAGAGGAAAAATCAAGTACGGAATAAAACTGACTTAAAAACAATGTTTAACCGGAAAATATCATCTTTGGCAAATATAAAATGTAACACCAAATCACAACATAAATTACAACAGTTTATAACTGGAATTTACAGTCAACAGACTTAGAAATAACAGAATAGCACAGCATAAAAGATACAGCAGCAACTGCATGTATTGTCATGGAACAGATTAGTAATTAACATGTAATAAAAAAAATCCAACACTAATCATATCGTAGCATTGGTGGGTCATGGATACAAAATACAAACATATTCATGTTTTGCCATAAAACTTACGATTAAGCAGAAATAGTAAAAGATTAACATTAACCTTAGCCTTGCCAAACATGTCCATGATGGAACTTCCCTCAAATTGTAACTCCAACAGATGCTGTAAAATAGATATTTGTGATTCAATGCAAAATACAGGTTTAGTACTACTATAAACATCAAAACAAAATTGTGAAAATTAGGTTTTATACCTGGATGTCAACATCAACTTTTTCCATTTCCACTCCCATAAACTTTCCTCTCACTGTAAAAACACCAGACATTTCTGAGGGTGAGATTTCAAATGTAACATTCCTGAGCTGGGTGGGTGGTAGCCCCTCTACCTCTAGCAGCACACCCTTTTCTTGTAATTTTGCTGCTGTGTACTTCAAAGTCAGTTTTGATTTCAATTTGCCAGGTACCTTCCCATCAACTTTCAGTGAATGCACGCTCCTGTCAAAAAAGACAACCATAAATATAAAATTGACAATTAAAGAAATGAATCCTTTAATATGACAGACCTGTTTAAATTAAAAACTTTTGATTTTTCAGCTTACTTTTTGCCAGCATTTAGGTTATCAAGACACCGCTTTATGTACTCATTGTAGAAGTCCACCTGTTCTTGCAAAGCTCTTGTCTTGGAATCTAAAGAAGCAATGGTGTTGCGTAATGAGACCAATTCCCTTCCCCTTTGTTGGCGGTAGAGTCCCTTGTGGCACAGGTCTTGAGCTATTGCTGTGACAACTGACTGGTAAGCATCACTAGATGATGCCAATCCAGCAAGTTCCAAGCGACTCAGATAACGCCTTAACAACTGTTTACAATCTCTTAGAGACCAGCTGCAAATAATAAATAATGTATTGCAGAAATAATACAAACTGAATGAAAAGAAAATTAAATTTTGATGAATAAAATTCATCAATAATTACCATGAATCAGTATTGAAGGTGCGATTCAAGGAAACAAGTTGTTTTTGATCACGATCTCTTCTCCTTAGTCTTTCCTCATACAAGAACTGTTGGGCAGGTGTGTCTGGTACTGATAATGCTTTCACCACATCATCTCCTTGCAGCAATGGCAATAACAAGACCATAAGCTCTTTCGTCTTTACAAAAAGTTTATTTAAATCAGTGGTATCCTCTTCTGGTACCTGCAAAATCATTGATGGTTATTATTCTCGTGATTAGATAATCTTAAAATAAAGAGGATGCAGACCAAATGAAAATTGGTACCTGGAACTTGTCAACAAGAGAAAGACAGATTTCAGCTTGTAGCAGCTGTGGTGCAGCATGTGCAGAATCACTGCACAATAATTGAGCTGTTGTTGGGACCCCTCCAAGGTCCTCTAACAACTCATGCAAAGGGTCCATCGGGTCTGAAGAAATTTGATCCTCATATTGTAAAAGAAGGCTGTGAGTGTCAACTATCTCCTACAAATAAAAAATGATACATAAATTTAGGTAATTCTTTCATCCGCTTTGTAGATATCTAAATCAAAAGCAGAGAAGCATAAGAACCTGGAGAGTAATGTAGATACATGGATCTTGGATTAGAGTTGCTTCTGAGTACCTATTGATACTGAAATGATCTTCAAGTTCTTCCACCTCGCAACAGCGACGGAAAAAATCTTTGAACTTCTCGTGGCACTCAACAATGAATGGGTTCAAACACACAAGATGAGGAGATTCCTCCCCGAACCCTTTCTTTGAAGCCGCAAATTGCAAGATTTTGGCAATGCTAGCAAGGTTGCGACGTTGTTCATTGGATAAATTACGGTCAGCTGGAAGGGTCACTATGTCGAATGCATCAGGGGCTACTATGGCAGAATTAATCAGCTGGTAGTAGACAAGGTGGCCAACAATCTAACAAATAAGAAATAAAAATGGATTAGGTATTATTCATATCATATATTACAGGAAATGGTACATGTGGTTAAGAGATAAGGCTTGAAAAAAAGTGACAAACCTTTAATATATCCTTTTCAAGGGTACCAGGAAATCTTTCCAGGAGGGCTTGACGTAGAGTTCTAGCCGTGTATAGCAGTCCATAAGGTATCAAACTTTTGCTGTCACAAATTCTTTGAAGAAAGACAAGAGTAGCAGCTTGGAGCATTTGGAGTCCACAATGGAGTCTCCTACGAACCTCAGCATGAGAAAGTGCTTCTTCCTGAGTAACGTTATGAGGCAGATCTCTGAAAGTGAAAAGTGTTAAATTAAAAAGTTAGACAAGCACAAGGTAACTTCAAATTTTGCTAAATGTAAATGTGAAATGAACTTACGAGGACTTTCCAGTTTCCATCTCAATTTGATTTCTCCATGACTTATAGATGTCAACAGGGTTTGTTTCAATAGATAGATTTTTGTCATTTAAAACCTAATAAAAAAACAAAAACAAAAAAAACTTGGTAAAATTTACCACAGGCAATCATAAATTACTTCAAGAATTCATCTGTGGAAGAACATACCCGCTCAATTAGAGGTCCAACCATTGTTCGCAAAGCATTCTGTCCAGAATGTTGTCGCGCATAATTAACCACCATCTTGAGCACCATTGGATTACTCGTCACTGCATCTGAAAGTTTTTCACACTTACATCTGAAAAAAATCAGATCACTGTAGAAAACAGTTAATACTTTAAAATTCATACAGAGATATAAAAAACATACTTGATCTCTTCGATTAGGGCTGTCCTAAATAATTTAAGCATAAGATATTCCTCTCTTTGACTCGCTCCAAAGTTGAACAGAGATAAAATAACATTCTGCAGAAATTTTACACTTCGACTCTGAGGGAGCCGGAAAAGCAATTTAGCTAAATAAGATGGGTTTGTCTGGAGGGTATAGAAGAGATGTTTGTATCCATCTAAGAGACGGCGTCCTTCCCGTGTTAAGGTCTTTAAAGTACAGTGAGCTTTAGCTGAAAATTGTTAAAATTTGAGCATAATAAAATGAGTATAAAATATTAAACGGACAGTAATTGGTAGTGGACAGTAATTTGTAGTACTTACATGACATTCGAGGACTGCACTTTTCCCTGTCCTTTCCCTTGGCAACACTATTCAAAGTTTTCCCATGGGCCACAACATCTTGAAGGGTAACTCTATTTTGAACAAGTAAACCTATTTTGATATCCATTGCATCAATTTGCCTTATAAGTTCCTGATTATGACGAATCCTCTGAACAACTGCACCTTGCAGTGACTGTAATAAATACAATGTTTCAGTGTCATTACAGAAAAGATATAAATTACTTAGAGTCATTAATTTTTAAAGAATAAAATCCACCCAGTAGATATACCTGAAGTTCAAGTTCTCTTTCATAATCATCTGTACTGAAATCTAACAAAGGCACAAACATGCGGACTATTTTAAAGGGAGGATTACTTTTGTGCACGAGCATTGAGAATGCTCTTCTTGCTTGCCTTCCTCGCCATAGAGCTTGAATGCGTACTACAGCACCTATGTGATTGCGGTAGAACTCCAAAATTCCATTCCCTCTTCTAAAATTTTTAACGAAAGAAAAAGGGGTGAAAAAAATAAGAAAATACATACACACTGATAATGAATTTGCAGATAAGTACTACTAATACAACAGAAAGAAAGTCAATTTCAAAGATACCTTCTAGCTTGTCTTTCCCTCTCCTCCTTGAATTTTAAAAGTTGGCCTTGGTAATGTTTTTGTTGGACAACACCTCTCCACCAAGCTTGAATGTGAATGATTTCTCCTATATGTCTCCTCCAAAACTCCTTTCTATCAGTCAAGCTTTTCCTGACCAAGAAGCCACGACAACGTGCTTGCAGAGCTACCAATCTTTCACCCGCTCCCAGAGCATTACGTACATCTTTGTGAGAAAGATAGTGGGACTGAGGATGAAAGTCATTTGGTCGCTCCCAAGAATAAGAGTATGATTCCATATTAAGGTAGACAGTATGACCATGCGATGTTACATGATCAATCCATGGTGAATGATGTTTGTGTCGATGCTAAAACAGAAAAGTAAAATTTGGATTAACATTATGTTATGTTAGTTGCCTTAATACAGATCTGAATGAGCTCAGCACATACTTTTGATTTTTGCAATTCCTGCAGAGCATCATGCCATGCTTTGGTATTTTGAGTATCACACTCAATAAGTCCAGCACTTGCAAGGCAGTCCATACACTCCCTTAGATCTTCTACACCAGCACTGAGGCACACATTTAGTCTGGCTAAAGCAAAGCAGGCTGTTTGTGCTTCATGTACCTCTGCCACAACTTCATGCACTGCATTTTCAACGTCACACAACCATAATTCACCACCACCCTGCTTCTCTTTTTCATACAGGCATGTTTTCAGTAAGAGTAACAGAAGAGGTGCATCATTTGCACCAATACTCTCTGACAATTTCAAACTTGTTTGTTGCAGAGCTTTTAGAACTCCTCCCGGTTTGTTTGATTGCACAGCATCATTCACTGATTGGAGGCTAGAAATGACTTGGAGGCATTGTTCAGATTCAGCCCCTACAGAATCCACAACTCCTTGAATATCAGCATAACTAAGAACTGGTGCATCTACCAGAGCTGCCTGTAGAGCATTCATATACTGAATTTTGAGGCTGGGTTCAAGGCCAGCTATGTGTAACAAAGGATTGCTCAAAGCATTCCAAGTCAATTCAACATTACCACTATGAGCACTTCTTGTGACTTGTGCAACATTATTAAGAACTTTTAGGCTTCCTATCAGTTCAGGGTAAGAGAGTGATTTCCCCGATTCTTCTTTGTCAATACCAAGTTCAGAAAAATAGAGGGGCATGGCATGTGGGTCCAAAAGTGATGGATCAATTTGGAGAGCCGGATCATGCAAAGCGCTACAAAATGCTTTCAAGCTGCCTGATTCCAAAGACTGGTTCATCTTTTCTAAAGCTCTTGATGTATTCTTGACAGTATTTGCAACTTTGTTTGCTTGATCAATTGCTTGCTGAAGTCTCTGTCTTATCACAATACAATCTCTTCCATCAGCAGCTTCTCTCAGGCCGCAAAGTACTTTTAATTCCTTTACATACTCTGTGCCATTTTGAGCATTTATATTCTTCAGCTGAAGTGATGGAGCTTGTAGGAGATGTGCAATTTTTTCCGATGCTTTTGTGTCAGCAGCTTTTAGAACTCTGCGAAGGGCAGAACGAAGATTCACAGTGTTAATGTGTCCTTGTAACTCCCCCAGGTCCAATAACTCATCAAAATCTTCTGCTTCACAGCTATCATTCAGAGATCGGTTGAGAGCTCCTTGTCTTTTAGTATTGCGAGCATTTATCAAAGTTTCCAAATAGTCCTCAGACAAGTCCTTACTGACGAACTGTAGAGCTAGAGATGGGTTTGAAAGCTTTTCCATGAGCATTGATACATCCTGTGATAAAAAGGTGTGAATCAACTTAGGATATGTTAATAATCTACCATATCTGGCTGCAGCTGAGTTTAAGACCCAGCACCACCACACACATACACTTTGAATGAATCAAATTTGGAAAAATTTCTATACAGTCGGTAGTGGTGTGTTTGGGGACCCCTCTCAGCTTTGCCCACGCTCTTTTAAAGCAATTTTTTTGAGAAAGAGTGGGTCTTATACTCAGGTAAATACGCTGCTAATACATAGTAATTTCATCGGATAATTTTAATACAAGAATGAGACTTCAAATTTTACCTGCAGAGCAATAGCTTTGTCAACTGCCTCAATTGCTTTTCGAAGTGGTTTACCATCCACATCCCTGCTTCCAGAAAGCAGGCCTCCAATCCTCTGGAAAGCAGGCATTGGTGCTCCAGCATCTTCCAAATCTTTTTGAACTGTCTGAAGGTCATGATCTGTAAACACAGTTCAGATAAAGAATGAACAGTCCAATTTGAGCAGACCAACTAACAGAACTGATGCACAAGATATTCATTCACTTACCAGAAAACTGAACTTTGCCATAAAGATCCTGAATAGCTGGAGTGAGTCCAAGTTTAAATAGGTGTGTGCTCAATGCATGAACACAGTATATCACTCTTGGCATATTTTTCTTATCATACACATCTGTTGTTTCAGGATGGAAAGTCTGAAATATTTCCAAAATGAATTACAAAAATTGTATTGAGATTATTGTCGTTCTAGCTGGTGCACCTAATACACTATGTTTGTCTTGTAAACTTAACTATCTTCATTTCATGATAAGAACAAGGAAAGCTTACTTTTGGCAAATTTGTAGATTTAAGTGATTTTATCCAATAGTTGATGTTGTCAGTATGGCGAAATTGAAGTCCAGCCATTCTATACCTCTTTTGTTCACGGTCATAGATCCGATTTAGAGGTACATCCTCAGGAGTCACAATATGAGCTAACTGAGCAAGGTAAACACCATTGCGCAAGCTCTCTTCAAGTTGTGCAGCAGAAGGTAACTTTTCTCCCAAAACTGCTTCCATCCACCTGGCAACAAAAAATTTCATATAACAACAAATGGAGCCCGAAAATGTAACATAGTTTCACATCACAACCAAATACGTACAATTTGGCTTCCTCCAGATGACACAAATACTCATAGGCCAAATTTCTTTTCCTTGTCTCATCCATTTCTTGGGCAGAATGACGGACATCTTCCACTGTTGATAGAGACGTTAGCCCATTAACTTTAGAGAAGCAGAAAAACCTAGTTTCTTTCTCCACACAGATCAATGCAAGCTCGAGCATAAACTATAATACAACTTAATAGCATAGGAAGAGTAAGAAGTTTTTCAATAACATTACTATAAATTATAAAGTTCTGTTAGTAATGTGGGGTCAGGTTCATGTCACAATCTTCTGACACAATCGTTAAGAACTATTACAAATGATCAAACTACTTTGCATAACCGATCAATGTAAAAATTTATAATTAAAGATATGAACACATTGAGCTAACTGGGTGTAGAGCCGTTACAAGTTACAAAACATGTTCTAACATGCTTCCGTTACTTACGCGTCCCTCCGAACAAGGCCCCCAGCTTCTTGCACTCTATCATTTTCGATGGAGTTTGTTAGATACAGTACTCGGACCGTCGCACTTCTGCAGCAATGAGTTAAATTAAAAACACGGCCGTGACAGTCAAGAGATTCATTGTCTTTGGGCGTTACTTGGCGGGTGTCAGGCGAACTCGGTTTGAAATCCGTTTGTGATGGTGTGACGTCACAGGCAAGAGACCGGTTGAGTAACTTGAGTATGAGAAATTTATAAGCACAATTTATCCACGTCGTAAAAGTTTCTAACCGAGTTTTCCCATTTTAACTCTTTTTCATAAATAAATATAAAACATTTTAATTGATTTTGGGGTTCTACCATTTGAGGTTTTAGTTAGATCTTTCAGAGAGTTTATCCACAAATCCTGGGATCAGTGATCATACTGGCAGTGTTCGTCGTCTGCTTGGAGCCAGCATGTCGTCTGCTTTTCGGGTTATTTGACAGCCAAACGTCAAACAAAACTTCATCTAATCGGACATAAATTGCCTTTTCTATTCCATTTACTACTCCCATGATATTATATTCCTCTTCTTCTTCACGTGAAGCGGGGAGAAAGAAAAAACTAACTTTGTTTGTTGTGTGGAATTATTCAAATCTATGGTGATGCACAAGCAAGTTGTGTTTGAAATGTCAATTGATCAATAATACACTTTGTGACAACTCATAGGATTTGATTGAAAACGCATTAAAGTATGGCAGCTCCAACTGCAGTTGACCTAGAATTAGAAAGTCGGGTCAAGAAAGGTATACCATTCACTTGACTACCCACATGATATGTTTTATAGTTTGTAATAAAAATTGTTCTGAATTGTTCCATTGTTCTTTTCTTCTCAGCATCAGAAAGAATTTCAGAAAACATGCACATTGTTGCCAATGAGCCATCTTTAGCCTTTTATCGGTTGCAAGAACACGTCCGCAAATCATTGCCACCTATGGTTGAAAATCGTGTTGAAGTTATAAAGTTACATCGAGAATTACAAGGGCACTGCTATGATGTAGAGTATGCTGTCAGGTACTTAAAGAATTTGGTTGCAATATACTGTATTTGTAGTGAACCAATTGGCACCAAATAAATTCCTTATATATTATTTGTAGTGCTGTGAAGTCTATGGAAGAAGCAGGACCGCATTTTGAAAATATGAAAGAGTTGATAAAGAGTGCAACCAACTATAGACAACAATTGAAGATGGATGAGAGTCGGAAGTATGTTGTTTGTAAAGCTCTCAACTATTTCTCATTGTTCTCTCATTGTTTACTTTGTTCATCTGTTGTTCTAGGGGAAAGAAAGAATCTTCAGTTTACAAACGACTGTCTGCACACATCCCTCTGGATCTTCCAGATTTGCCAGAGTTAGGAAATGCACTACGTGAAACTGCAAATAGAGTAGAATCTATGATGGCAGAAGCTCGCCACTCAAATGCTGAGCATTAGCCTGTTTCTGCAAAATGTATTTAGTTCATGAACCTGCAACCATTGGAATCCTCTTGCAGCATGGAATAAGGCATTTCCTGTGTAAAATTATGCAAACTTGTAATTTTGAGTATTTTTACTAATTTATAACATCACATTTGAATTCAGGTATAAAAAATTACAGATCCTAAATTATTTCTAACTCACAAATCAAGCAGAAAAACAATACTTGATTAACTCAGAGTAATTCAGTGGATCACATTTGTTTAATGAGTGAGTCACCATACATCTAGACATGTTCATTGAGTAGGTCTCACCTCAAAGCAAAAACTTGTAATGCAAGTTAAATAAGTTGTCATGTCGGTGGTAATACATTGTAAATTAGCTACAACCTATATCAATAAAATTTAAATTTTTAACAATAGCCGTGCATCAAATATTTATGTCATTCCAGAGCATCAATTTTGAGAAAATGTTGAGGTATTTGCTCATATTTCATGCTGAGGCCTTATGAATAGGAAAGTTATCCTCAAGTGTACAGTTCAATGATTATTTGGAGAATTTATTTTTGACTACCTCTCTTGTACCTTCTATTTCAATTAGATCATACATCCATTTGCGGTGTGATCTGAAAAAAATGATTATATACTAAAAAATAAGAATTCAGAGCAAAATTTCACAGAAATCAAGAACGTGAGGGAAAAAATGATGCATCTTACCTGCATTCATGTCCACATTTCTTGGATTGGCATTTGGGACATGCAAAATGGCAGCCAGGACATGATTCATCCAGACAATCACAGAGATCTTTACCAGATTCTATGTGAATGCCTCGGTCAGTGTACACCACATTTCGCCTCCTACAAGAATTAAAATTTTAACTGTCAGATGAGTGAACAAAAATATATCAAGCAGCACATTCCATCTACTGGTATGGCAAATTACAAACCCTTCATAGTTGATCTTCCTGTTTAACTTTCGTCGTTCTCTGTTACTTTGCTCAGGATTAAAGTTCTCCATAAATTTGTTATTTTTTAAATCAAATCGATCAGACTTTTTGCGCATCATCCTGCTTTCATGTGGCTGATGATAGGAGTGCAAAAGAGAAAACAAACACTTTTAATGATTTTTTGATTAACTGTTTTCTGTTAATACCCAGGTAAAAGCTGAGGGTGTCATAGGATTACCCATGAGATTACTTCATTTCAGAAAGAATCATGTAGATCCCAAAAAGAACTAACCTCGTAATTGGACCTCCCGTAAGTAGCATCATTGCTGCTGTCCGATACATCCATAATAATAAACCTATTTTGACGAAAAAAATGAAACAAAGATATATCACAGAGTTATTTTTAACAACCAAATTTGTTTATAATTGGTGCGGTTCTTTATGTCTTGTTTTGTTATTGCCTCTTTTTTTTTTCCTTATTTGCAGCCGACTTGCAGCTGTTTATGGGTAGTGCCAATAATGCTTTTTCGGCTTTCTTGTTGCCAATGTTACCAACAAGACAATTTGGTCAATATTTTTGGAGAACTGTCAATCTGCTATCCTCTTGTAAGGAAATCCCCTTCATAGCCTACCAGAACAATGTGCCGGCTTTATAGCTCTTGTCTTATGTGATGTTTATTGGTTCTGTTGTCAGTTAGGAGTTATTCATCATCTAGATTCGGAGCATTTGACATTTGACACATTTTAAAACATGGTGAGTCCCAGGGGTTAAGCCCATTCCTCAAAAACGGACTTCCTAGTCATATTTATCAAATTATCAAATAACAGTCCATATATTTTTATTATTTCCAGTTACGACTTTTTATCAATACCTTATACGTGACGTTTTAGTAAATCTATTTGGTATAATCATTTTCATTGGAAAAATTGCTCGATCCTATTAATTTTCTAAAAACCATTAATAGTTTGAGCCAGAACACTGTGTTATCAAAGGTTTCCTTTAATATTAAAACCATAACTTTTTCATCCAATTTATTCTTGTTCACACAACTTTGTGAAGCTTGTTCTGCGAATTTCTGCTGTGCCTCAATTAATGATCGAAACATTGGTTGCGTATGCATGGTGTGGGATTATTTCCCCCTTACCAATGTGCCCCTTATTATTGAAACTATGCCTTCACTGGCATGATAAATTAGGTTCCACAATCATGGTACTGAGATTGTCAATTTTGAATTTAAACATGTTATTGTTTAATTGCTATTTACTTTCATTGCTCCACAAATGATTCAAGATATACGGGGTGGCCGCTCTGCCCCATAGTTTTAAAAAGGTAGACTAGCCCGCCTGCACCTACCTCTCCCGTTCCCTCCCACCTCCCCGCTCCGTCTGTGAGCGGACTAGTCTACCTTTTCGAAACTACGGGACATAGCGGCCACCCTGTAGACTGGGATTACTTTCATTTCTTTTCCTTTTTGTCAGATCACCATGATATAAGTTAAAGGAGTAATTTAATCACAATATTGTTATTCTTGTTTTAAAGGCTAGTGAAGTGGAAGAAACTCTAAAGAGGATCCAGGCCCACAAAGGGGTGGTTGGCACAATTGTAGTCAACGCAGAAGGTATTATGTTTTTCAATTTGATATCTTTAATACTTTTGTAATCAGAAATGAATACTACAGCTGGTAAACAGAGAAATTGAAACCTTGGAATCAAATTTAATAGTTTTGTTACCTATCCTCAAGGCATTCCAATCAAGACAACTTTGGATAATACAACAACAGTCCAATATGCTGGTTTAATTGGGCAGCTGTCTGACAAAGCTCGCAGTGTTGTAAGAGATCTTGATCCAACAAATGATTTAACTTTCCTCCGCATACGAACCAAAAAACATGAAATCATGGTAGCTCCGGGTGAGTGTTATGTACTTCTAAAATACAATATTTTCATTAACACACCTCTCTATTTCAAAACCTTTTCTCATCCTATTTTTCCAGATCGTGAGTTTATTCTAATAGTAATACAGAATCCTATGGATTAATGTGAAATTCCACCTCTAACATCATCGACCTCATCTCACTTGTCCTCCTCGTGGTCTGGATCATAACTACTTATTATTAATCTAAATTCTTGTGCTAAGGAAAATTTTGTACTGTTAAGTAGCATGGCTTTTTGTTATTATTTACAATTTACCCTTAATTTTGTTACAAATATTTCTAATTGGTGAATAAATCTGAAAATACTATCTATTGTTTTTATTTTTTCCTATGACTTTTATTTTCCAAAGAAGAGAATCAAAATGAAGTCCCAGAGGATCGCATACCAAAAAATAGCAACACAGACATCCTACCAACATCTGACTGCTGACCACAGCTGACCCTGCCTCACCAATCAATATGACAAGGGGAAGGGGGAGTAGTGGAATAGTATATGAAGCAACAAAGGGTTGTCATGGCAACTAAAATACTTCATCTACCCTATGTTCTCAGGGTTGTGTTGAAAACATCAATACTGAATCTGTTGAATCAACAACAATGAAGGTAGTATGAAATTAACATTTTTGTGTCATTCTTAAGGTTGATAACTACATGTGTTTTTCTGTATCTCTGAAAAATGTTCATATAATGCTAAAGAGAGTCGATTTTTGCAGATATCTCGTACGACGTACCTACATCTCAACATGCTCTTGTTCCTGGCATGTTTGCCTACAACTTCTTTGTCACAATCCGCAACATGTAATGGGAAGAGTACATTTATTAATTTGTAAGTAATATTTTAAATTAATTTGTTTCTTTGAAACTTTGCATGATTAAGTGATTATATTAATGAGTCTATTTTGACAGGTGTGGATATTGTGTTGGAGGTTCAACAAATTTGGATGATTCAGAGGGCCTGGATAAATGTGGCGTTTGTTATGGCCACAACAAGTGTGTGAACTGTGATGCTACTACTGCAGCTTCCTCTTTGGATAAGGGTAAAGTTTGGATTTTGAATCCAAAAACTGATTCTTATTGTGAAAAATTAATGAACTACCCTATCTTAGATATTTTGTCAACATGCTGTACTATTTTTATCACTTATAGGTTGTGAACCAACTATATTCCCTCAGACTTATGACCTAGCATTGAATGAAAAGGATTTGAAGTTGTATCTCAAGAACAGCAGTTTGCAAGACAATATTCAAAATATTGTATGCTCATTATGGCTCTTAAATGATATAGCACCTGCCTCTCATGCAACTAATGAGAGTGAAATAAGAATTCAGTCAGGGCAGGATTTTATGATCTTGACAGTCAATCCTTCTATTTTAGTAATTGGACTTTACACTGTCTCATGCATTGAGCGCACATCCAGAAATCCATTACTCAACAAAACTCTTCAAGTTGTAGATAGCAGGACATTCAAAATTACCTCTGTGAACCCTTCTGTAGTGCAATCAAACATTCCATTCAAGGTATTGTAATATGTGCATCATGTGCTAGTTTTTGCAATTGGCTGGAAATGGAAACATGTTACAACTTTCTTTTATTGTTTTTTGTAGGCACAGGTGAATGTCACTATCCCACTTGACATGAGCTCTAAAGTGTTTTGTTTTCTGAAATCCAACAATATTGTCGAGCAAGTTGTGGGCTCAAAAATAATTTCTCCTGGATTTATTGACTGTAGCCCTATGACTGCTCACCAAAAATCTGCTTCTTTTATTGGAGTAGCTGGAACAGTGGAGGCAGCTCTTTCTGAGTAAGAAAGATAAAAGTCAGGTTTGAATTTTCCTTCCGCCTTTCAGAACCTAAATCTTTATTTCCATTTTTATTTCTATTTTAGTTCTGCAATTTTAAATACGAAAGAGTTGGTTATTCATCCAACTAAGCCTATACTTAAAAGTTCCAAGTTTTCTTCCGATTTGCGCCTTATATTCTTGCAGTTTGATCAGAACATCAATGCATCTGGTGACTGCAAAAAAGCATTTTCTCCAGAAACCATCAGCTTATTTGGAAAAGGTAGATAGAAAATTAATAAACTAGCCTAAATCTAAAAACTTTTTACAAAATGAACTGTAACAATGAAAGAAACAAGATAGACAGTGCATCATACATGTTTGGTTTGATACAAGGAGTGAAACCTGACTATCTCTGTTCAAGGATGGTTGTGCTGGATCCGCACAGACCAACTAATTATTCAACTTGGATCGGATCCTGCCATTCATCCAGGATCTCGCATCTTACTCTCTATGCAAAGCAACAGTTTAAAGACTCATTTGAACATTCCCTTTGATGATAATGATGGAAGCTCGCAAGTATACACTTCTATTGTAGATGATGTAACTAATCAGGTACATATCTTGCAATTCATAATGATCTCTCTTAGGAATTACAATCTTTACGGTCGGTAAAAGCAGATATTCTTAAAATTGTATTTTGTTTAGGTGGTCGAACCAGTATATAATGTACTAGCACCACATGTTGCATGTCATGGTGTTCGGCACACTGGATTACAGTCGTCAATTTATGCCAGAAAGCAAAGGGATGATACAAAAGAAGCCATGATTGATGAAAATAGTGTAACTATTTTAGAGGTACAGTATACTTCAAACATTTTATTTCATATTTTTATCTCGACCATTCCTACGGAAGCTTGCTATTAGATAATTTTTAAAAATTTGACTTAGGTTCAGCAATTAGGTGGCCAGAACCTTTTATACAACTGGACTGTAAGTCTCAGTCCACTTAATAATAAACATTTATCCCAACGAGATATATTAATGACTTGGCTAAGTGTACGTTTGCTTAATAAATCTGTGAAGCAGGTTACTTCAAACAGAGTCAGCTTAAACAATAGTTTGGTGAGGAGTCTCTTCTTGTCGTCTTACTTTCTAATGTCTACGCTATTTTGAATGCTCTGTGAAATCTATTTTATTTTGTGATTGAGCAGATGCTCAGCAATGTGGATTACACAGTAACAGTTAAAGGGACAAATGCTCTTGGTATGAGCGGGGAAGAAAAACAGATGCCCATAAGATTGCTGGACAAGAAACCACTTGCACCTGAGCATCGTACTCTGGATTCAGGGGCCATAAATGTCTGTACATCAGGCAACCCTTTAGATGTAATGATTTCTAGTTCACCAGCAACTTACTCTGATGTGAATTTTCGAGTTGAACTTTATCCATCATGTTGTGATGGAAAAATGAACTTTGAAATTCTGGGGCAGATAAAAGTAAGTGTACTTTAAAAACAAATAATAATTAAAAATCAATTTTTTAACATTATGTTAACACTTAGTTCTCATGTAAACTCTTCATCTTCTTATTTTATTTAAAAAAAAATATATCTCAGTATGCGTGGTCTGTGAAATCATACAATGGCTCAATTGTATATCAACGATTGAACCAAGTCAAAACTTTCAATGTACCCTCTGGAACATTCTCTGGTGGAGAAAGGTACATAATTTCTTGTGAGCTTTACCATAAAACAACGAACAGATCTCTAGGGCTTGTAAGTAATATTTGCTTTTGATGTTCAATTGTTCTCTTTGACTACCACATCTGTTTCAAGGATTGGATTGTTATATACCTGGTTTGAATAATATGCAGGCCAGCACCTCTGTTGTTATTTTAGAGCGAGGACTTAAGACCTACGTCAATGTCACTGGTGTAGGAATAAGCACAGAACAGCCTCTTATACTTGATGCATCAGCAAGTATTGATTTTGATAATAAGGAAGGAAGGTTGGAGGTAAGAAACAACATGTCCATTTCTCATGCTAAGCTAAGTTGTCAAAATTTTAGCCTCTGAATGTCAGTGTTGGTAATTTCAGTTTGATTGGAGTTGTCGAATGTTGAACAGTGAGCTTGGATATGGTGACAGTCAGTGTTACTTACCAAACAGAAAAAGATCACTGTTACATAAAATTTATTCAAAAGAGTTTAAAATGCGGACTCTTTATCTACCTCCTGGATCTCTTCCAATTGGACAGTAAGAAAAAACAAAATCATCAAGACTTTTGAGAATGTGTTAAACAATTTAAATATTTTGTTTTCAGGTACCAATTTAGTGTTACTGTGTCAAGAATTTCTAAGAAGCATAAAAAAATAAGTGATATGGGAACTGTTACTGTTTCAATTTTGATGGGGGCACCTCCTCTGGTGTTTATTCCTGTCAAAAATTCAAAAAATAGTGAAAACCCTTCTACTCGTGTAATCAATCCAGATGATGGCTTCACACTTACTGGTATGGTTTTAGGAATAAGATCTGGGTGCCACATATTCTGGGCAGGAATTGATTGGCCTGGATATGTTACACCGAATCAAAGCTTTGTAAGTAATAATTTGATTCTGCTACTTCATATAAAGGCACTTATTGTAGACTTTTAAAATATATTGCATTTTCAAACGCCCTCAGCTTCATCATGAACCATATACTGCAGCTGTGGATCAAGAAAATCCCAGAGAATTTTCTGCTGAGGTTTCTCCAGGACTGCTGGGTGATGCCAAGTATCGTTTCCGTCTCTCCGCCTTGTGCTCTAATAATTTGGGATATGTTGACTTCTCTTATGTGGATGTAGACATAACAACAGATGCTCCTCCAGTTGTCAAACCCTTACTAGTTAGTAGTTTTCAAACTATTTAAAACAAATGTGCTTAATTCAAACTGAGTGAGGTCATTTAAACTATGATTTCAGGTAGAGCCCCTTGAGGGAGAAGCATTAGTGACAGAATTTAGATTCAGCACCAAACCAGCATATGATGATTTATTAGATTACCCTTTACAATATTCCTTTGGTTTCCAAATTGTAGAAGAAAGTGAAACCTTGGGGCCAGCAAAATATTTTCACTCTAGTACTCAAAAGCTATCAGCCACTACTTATTTACCAGCCAGTAAGCTTTCATTAACATTAAATGATTAGAAAATTTTACATTTTGATGGTGTATTATTGAATTTTTTGTTTGTTTCAAAAAAGCATCTCTCTCACCCACAAAAATCCAAACCCTGCTCAGAGTCTGTGATGTACGTCAAATATGTCACACAGTAGAGGGGCCTAAGGTGTCATCAAATGCCCCCAAACTGCTGACTTCAGGACATGTTGAGTATGTAACTGGGCAGTGATACCGGTTTACTTTCAATTTTGAAGTTTCTTACTCCTAATTTTTCTTCTCAGGTTATTAAGTGATGGCTTTTCATCTTTTCTTCTGGCAGAAGAATATGAAGATGCCATTACGCTTGTTGAGAGTAGTATGATTACCCTGGAGGTTCTGGATGATAAGTCCTTTTATCAACTAGCCTCCAAAAAAATAGAGAAAACAGTGAACAGTCAATTGGACTTGTTTGATAAGAGGTACAATTGTGCAATAATTTAAGATATCTATAATTAAAAGGTCTACTTATAGATCTGTTATCAACATTTTTGTTATTTTAGACTGGATTCATCTCCTGGGGAGGTCAATACAGCATTCCGTTTTTTGAAGGCAGCCAATGCTGCTCTGAAGCATGGTTCCTTCTCCCAGGAAACATTGCAAAGGCTTGTGGCGTTCAAAGATAAAATTCTAGGCATGCTTAGTGATGGGAGGACCATATCCACAGGTAAAATTGTTCATCAGTGAAAAGGTTAGATAAGACCTTTGAGTGTATTTTTCTAACGTTCTAACGTTCAACTTAAGAGACCGACAGTGGCCTGAGGAGAAAACGAGAGATCCAAACAGAAGGAGAACAGCCCCAAAATATTCTTCAACCAGAAATGGTTAGATCCCCTTTAATTTTTTTTACTGCACCTTTTGCTTTATTGAATTTTTATTCCAATGTGGCTAATCAGGGACCTTAAACAGGTGCGGACTATGTTAGGTGTATCAGAAGTGGCTATTTTTAATTTAAGTGATACTAACAAGGCATTGAATGAAAAAAAGAAGTTACTTCAAAACATTTCTTTTTTTATGGAGTCCCTTTGCAGAGGCCTTCATAACTCTGTTCCTCTCTTCATTGGTGAGCTAAATGAACACATGTGAGGAAATGCTTTTGTTGTTCAAACCACCTCTGCAACTGCAACATACTTCCATTTCTAGGTTCTAGAGTTGTAAGTTTTAGCGTTCAAAGACTGAACATGCAAGTCAAGTACAAAGATGATCTAGCTATTCCAGATTGGAGATCCTCAAAATCTGGAGGTATACCTGTAAATGCTACTGCCCAGGTAAATAATTTTTTATTTTTTTAAAAGAAAAGAAAAAAAAGCAATACAGGAAGGGAAAGAAATCAATAGCCCTTGATTACTATATAAATTAGACTTCTTACACTGGGATGCCAAATTTTACTGAACAGATTCGACTTGGTGAGGATGTCCAAGGTTTGCTAAGTGCCAGCATGGTATGCATGGGTGCTGCTTATTATCCAATGGACTTCCTATCAGAAATTGGTCAAGTCTCACTTCAAGGTGCTTACAGGTATTTTAGTGAATTTTAGTCAAACACAATAAATGTCACAACATCATTTACTGATTTATAATTAATTACACATCTCTTTTAGGCATAGTGCAGTATACCATGTAAAAATAATTCAAAATGTATCACAAAAAGTAACAGCATCTGATTACTATGAAGGAATGGATGTGAAGAAGCAAACTATCCAAATTAAAGTACCTATCTGGAGTGAACAAATAAAAAGTGGATTTCATTTTGAAGTAAGTGATAACGTTGCTAGACATTGCTAACAAAATGTAATATCATTAAATAGTTTTAGGCAACAGTTAAATTTTATGTTGAATCTTTTTAATAGTGTCGTGTTTGGCTGCGTGGTACATGGGACGGTCATTCTTGTAAATATGTGAAGCTTGCTACTCTTATCAATAAGCCTGCAGTGGAGTGTTATTGCCACATCATTGGATACTATGCGTGAGTTTAAACTCTGATTTAAAAACTAGTTGCAAACTAGTTGCGAGGGCTGAGATAACTGATTTTTTGTTTTTGTTTGGTTGTGTGATTTTAATATCCTAGCGTGTTTGCTGTTGAGTCACCTCCAACAACAGTAACAGCAACAACAACCCCTACCATTTCCACTAAACCAACCGTCACCAAGAGCCTTGACCCAGTCGCAGACACCACTCTGGTTACCAGTAAACCACCAATTTCTTCAACAGTGAAGATAAGTGTTCCGCCAACAGTTGTATCAACTCAACCGCCCACAACTCCATTTGTTACAAGTTCTGTTCAAGCAACTCCGTATTATGATAAAGCTTCACCCACAACTCTACCCCCTGGAATTCCGGTACCCAACACTTCAAAAAATTTCACATTTAAGTAAGTAAACAATTTTCACAAAAAATTCTCAAAAATTATTGAAGTAGTCAAAAATTTGATTTTTAACATTCTGAAACAGAATTCAAGAGGAGTATAGCACAACTGTGGGATCTAGAGAGGGTGCTTTTATATCTCAGCTGAAACATGACATCTTAAAACAAGTAGAAATGCCTGCCAACATGATTTCTAGTATTGACTTGTCACCAGGTAAACTTTTCATAGCTGGCCACTGGAGAAAGTTAACTTTCTTAATGTAACATTATTGTATTGTTGACACAGGCAGTATTCTCGTAACTCTGCATCTGGTTGATACTGACATAAGAACTGTCGATGATGTACTCCCAAGTCTGGCAGCGGTGCTTCAAGATGGTCATTTATCAGTCAGCGGGATTGATGGCAGGCATCTTTCGGTGCCACCTCAGAGTCTCAAACTTCTGCAACGTCGTTCTGAAAACAGCTTTGTTCCTTGGATTGTGATAGGATGCTCTGGTTTTGGCCTCTTTAGTATTGGAGCTCTTGTTATAGCAGTAATCATAGTAAAAAGACAGATGCGAGATATGGACTTTACAGATCATTCTGTACGAATTTGTTCATTATTACCTCCATTTCTCTTTAATTAAATTCGCATACTACAATTATTTTGTTGTTTGCTTTTGCTTTTAGGGAAGTCCTGAGGTAACCAACAAGACACCATCCTACGCCCGCTTTCACTTGGAGCAGACTCTGGACGGATCTGAGGCAACGCTTTCTCGTTACAGGAGTTCTGTGAATAACCCCCTCGTTGTCAGCACTATCGGAGGCTTGGCTTCTGTCATGGGAACAAATGCTTTAATTCCACCAGAAAATCTACCTTCATCGATCCGGTATGTTCATGAATGCAATGTTGATTTTTAAAATCAATGAGAATGTGGTAGACAGGCAACAGTTTTGATTTGGTTCCTTTCAGTTTCAAGCTCAACCCCTATCATGAGGACATAAGAAGTATCCTATCACTACCTTCCAAAAATGTCACAAATTCAAATAATAGCAGTGGAAATAGTAGTGGTGATGGTGTTAACTCTCACATCAAGAGTGAATCACTCGACAAACAACTCTCACTCCCAGAGAAAAATGCTCTTACTCTTGAATTTGAACCAGAGGAAGAAGATTCTGGAATAGTTGCGAATGGGAAAGTCACAGCCTGCTTCCTAACCAACAGCCGAAGTCAAACACCAGAATCAAATAATGTAAGTTCTTGCTAGATCCGTCATAATTCAAGTTAACCTTGACAAGCTTGTTTACTCCTCCATGTTTCTACAGCCACCTGATGTGCGTATTCTACCTGGTACACCCACTGGTAAAGGAGATGAGGGATTTTCTTTATCAGAATGAAAAATCTGGAGTGAGTTTGTAATGTGTTAAGTGTTATTACAAGATAAAACTAATGTATCTATCCATCATAAAAGTGAATTGTTTTATTTCTTTAAGTTTTGAATAACAAAATAAAAATAATAACAAGCTTTTCTGGACCTAGCACATGAGAATAGAGCAGACAGAAGAAAACAGTGGTCACTCAGACTTTTAAGCAATTTGGATTCAGTATACTCTCACAGGTCAGCAGACTTTTGTCCAGCAGTTAATATTTCGTAATTTGGTGTACAAATTTGTAGAAGGCGAGGACTGCCAAAGGTGCTGAAAAGACTCACTAAAAATTGGTAGACCATGACCTGATTATGTGTGTCTTTACCAAATGCTACATGTTGTAAAATTTGGCACTACTGCTGAGAGCAAAACAAAACAGAAGAACATGCTAGTATAGATTAAATATTCTGATAAAAGACCAAAATATGTAGCAGTACTGTATATGTTATACACGAGAAACTAAGAAAAAGATACAGTAAAATACAATTGCTGAATCCCAAATATGTAGCAATATTTCTTCTGGAAATATATTCAATCTCAGACATTTCTCCCCAGACAACCAAACCAAAGTCACTGACATCAGATACAGTATAAAAGCAGACTAAAATCTCAATTAGCACACATGCCCATGCTTTATCCTGAGTATGGAGACTCAACCATATATCACTCAACTTCCATCAACATCATGTGCTCTAGAGAGAATAACAGCAATAGAGTCATTAATGAAATCTGCCTTTAAGCAGCTACTATATATTTACAGTCCAATATAGTTTCGCCTCTTAGTCACAATGCATGAATGTATTGATCGAGCTTGCAATCTAACATGTACACACATTACAAACAGATGAACCTTTCCTTCCCTTGATGACATCTGACTATCCTAAGTTCATACCGTAAGTGATTTTATAAATTGTAGATAATCTAATTCAATAATATTATTTAAAATGATAAGTTGATTGCACATGGAACAAGTAGATGAGAGAGAAATTTGAGTTGATTGAGAAGATAAAGTAAGAAATACGTACCAGCTGATGTATATCAGCTTTCATAGTAAAATGAATTTGACAAAACTCTCATCTAATTGAACCCATCTAAGGACCAGTAAAATCTTCACGCTTTCAATTCCCAATATCTGAACATAGAGTATGCACAAGACAAGATAAAATGTATTTTTGAAGCAGAACATTACATTTTGCTTGTGGTCTTATAAAAATCCACTGCTAACAGGTAAAATAATCTTTCCTCCCTTTTACTGCTTTACTTAGGAGAGGTATGTGTTGTCAAAGTACATGACAGTGGATAATATTTTTCTAATTTCAAAATATACATACTTGTGAGGGTAGAAAGTCAATTTTTAAATTGTTAGTTCAAATTTTGTACCAGAATAGTAGAACTACTTTTTTGGAGCAAAAGAATGAGCTCTGAAGATCAGTCATCTGTGTGTTTACCCTTCCTTGATTGATAAGTCCAATGGCACAAAGCATGGATGTACCAATTTTAATGAGGATTAGGTATTAATATCAGGCCACAGATTAAACCCAGAAAAAATCAGGACCTGTACAGATAAAAAAAAGAAACTAGTGATAAAATGGTGATAATGCTCACTAAACCTAACAGAGGACAAAAACTCTTGGTAGAAACTGGTCAGAAGTATCGACATTAATAAAGTAACTCAGAATAATTCATCTACCATATTACACTCCAAATACTATATCATACACTACACTTGGATGTAATGGACATATTGCATAAGGCACATCTGATACCAAGATACCAATCATCTCCTGATTTTATAATGAGTGGTGGTTTTTAGCAAGGTAAGGGGGAAGAAAACCCCATGGTTGTTACAGAAATTTAAAGCGAGAGCTTTGGTTTCATTGCATGAATAACGCCGGAGCCATCCACAGTGTAAGATGTAAGGTAAGATACACATTCTGCTTTGCCTCCCACAAAGGCATTCAAGTAAATTGCAATATGGGAAAAGGAACTCTACGCATGAGAATCCTATCCCCATGTTTTCATGAAGAAATTTGTTACCAAAATGATCCTTTGAGTTAGCCTGTTACATATCAACATTGGTGTGTTAAATACAACAAAACCACTGACTGAACTATAGTTTCCATCACAAAATGCTAACGAGTTGAAGACAAGTATAAAATGTGCTGTATTTCAATCTTCACCAGCTTGAAGTTTCTCCCATTCATCATCTGTTGGAGGAAAAGACTCATTTCAATACTGACTCAGATGGAAGTACAAGGCAAGTATGTAATCATTCATACCAGGTAATGTGGTAGATGAAGATGAAGATGACGATATTGCGGTGCTGTCTTCAGTTGTTGTGTCGTTATCACCTGAAAATGTGAAAATAAAATGAAAGAAAGAAAAAGAGAGCTAGTCAAGTGAAAAAATAGGGTATTGTAGTACCTATCTTACTTTGAATATTACTAGGCAAAGGAATGGACATATGCTCAAGAAAAGTACTCACCCCTATCTTTGCTGCTTCCAAGCACCACCATATCACCCTTTTCTTTTATTGTAATTTCCAAATTAGAACTCAAATCAACCTCCTCATTGTCAATACTTTCTCCTTTCTTTGGACACTTTTCATAACTACTAACTGAAGACTCTTCTGTCTCGTATTCATTTTCAAGAAGATCCAAAGAGTCGATGGCTGTCTTCACAAATGAGAAAAGTTTGTTTTTAGCATCTACAATCAAAGATGTTTCAGATTCTTCATCTGATAAGGGCTGCACATTTCCAGATTCAGGAGATTTCCCATCAGAGTAATGATTTTCCTTAAGAGGTAGTTTAAGGGGAGATGTAGACTTTGAGCTATCTACAGTCCCTTCTTCATCTGATGATTTGGTCTTACACTCATTTTCATATTCCTGAAGTAATCGAGTTTGCTCTTCATCTGAGATATCCAGTTTGTTGGTAGATAATTCATCTTCTGAAATAATAAGTAGGAGGTAATAAAACATATAGATAAGGGAGAGACAACAATCAACATAGTCTGTTCATAGCACAATTTACCTTGATTACGCAAGTAATGTTCAGCCTCTTGGGCCTCACGTTGTTGCCGTCTTTCTTGAGCTTCACGGTGAGCTTCTTCATCTTCAAGTAGAGCCCTTCTAAACAGGAATCTTTGCCAGAAGTCTGCATGATTCACCTTTGATGGAACAAGTTTGACATACTGAGCATGAAGTTCAGCATGAGTTACCATAAGCTTTTTAAGGTTATCAGTGTTTAACAAGTCTTCTTGAATTTCCAACCAAGCAGAGAATTGAGCTTCTTCTAAATTGGAAGGCTCAACAGTGAAAGTATCCTCACAAGTCATTAATGTGTGAAGCTGAGCCTGCCAAAGAAAATAAAATTTATGATAGAAATTTTGTCGTTTCTTCACAAAGCTGTGATTAAAACATGAAGAAGCAAGAATAAAAAAGAGATACAAAAAAATAATTGTTTCAACAGGTAACTACCTGAAACCTTGATAGAACCACAGGTACATTGCCTCGCATGACCATAGCTTCCTGGTCACTGTCATCAGGGGCAGGATTCAAAACATTATTAACAGTACCTAAGAAGGAAGACATGCTGCGTTTCATAGTGTTCACAGTAGATTCCGGCTGATCAAACTGAAATAAGATATTCAATTCACACGAGTAAAATAAACTGAAATAAGATATTCAATTCACACGAGTAAAATAAACTAGAAGTTTGAAACTCCCATAGATTTGATTAGTCAAACGTACACTAAGTTGTTCCTTGAGTACAGATGTGGTAGAATTAACAACTTGTGATGCTTCATTTTTAACCGTAGAAGATAATTCATCAAAATCTCTCTTAACAAACTCCAAGACTTCTGCTGACTGAAAAGAGTACAAAAAATAGGGGCATAAGAGATGTAAAAAAATTAAATGCATATACAAAGGTGAGTATGGTAATCTTATATAATAACTTAACAAGTACTGACTTTATTCTTTGCAGCACTGACGACTCCACTTAAAGAACCCCACCATCCACTGTAATTAAAAGCACGCATTTCAAGATTTAACAAGTTGTAAGTTGCCAGTTTACGAAGCTCCTTCAACCAGTTCATGGTGAAATAGAAATGCACGGCATAACCAATTGCTACAAATGTAAAATACAATTATTTTGGAACCAATCTAAAAATGCAAGGATTAGGTAGTGAAAGTTGATTACAGATTATCTGAGATGGGAATGCTTGTCCTTTTAGCTTCCAAGGACAAAAGAATATTATGAGCTCAAACAGCATAAAATTAGGAAGTCGTTTCATCACATATTTCTTTCACCCGATTTTCACATGTCACTACGAACGAGACATTAGAGGACTGCCGCATGGAAAACGCCAACTGCGTTTTCAGTACAATAACCCTAAGGAAGCATCTGTGGCCTAATCAATCAGCGTGAGACTGTCAACAAGAAACGAATTCGTCGCCAGTCACATTCAGTCCAGCATTCTATTTCAAGGGGGAAAATGGGTGGATTTATCTCTTAAATACAAAGGTACCGCTGCAAATTTATGATTAACGTCACATGTAATGTAAATAGAAACCAACGAGCCATTTAAATGCACAGGCACTTACCCTCCATCAGCCATTGTTTCTGATAGTTATCAAATATAATTTATTGATTAAAAATGTGGCGTACACAAGGCATACGATCAAATAACCTTTCTTCAAAAAACAAGTAGATTCTCACAAAACTTTGCAAAACTAGCTGCCTGATCACTTGTAAATATTATTGTTCTGCAGCCATCTTGCAGAAATACAGCAGAAACAAACAAACAGTGTGCGGAACTTCCTGTTCTCTTCCCGTCCTACCAACACACAAACTCGGACCATTCATTTTGCTTGTGAGGAAAGTGAAAAGTAAATATTAATGTGAATAGGGGGGAAAACAAATATTAGTTTCATATAAAATTTTGTAAATTGATCTGTATATATTTTTGTTGGTCGTTCGTGGGCGCAGCAAGACGCGGTAAAGTTCAAATGCTGTGCGTTTCGTTTAACAGGGAAGCACCACTTTTGTATCTTTTCCTCGCAATATTACACACATCTTTTAACAATCCAATTGCATATAAATTTTTGCGAGCTTTCGCCCCAATTTGTGATTTTGAGGCTGTGTCGTGGCGTCGTGGGTATATGGATGCAAACGTACAATATGCCAACTTTCCAACTTTCTATTTTCTCCCCGGGTGAAGGGGGTTATATATTTCTCATACTTGAGCTAGCTGTAGGGTTGTCAACATTTGCACTAAAATTCCCTTAAAGTTACTCTGATAACGCCAGGTGTTGTACCTTCACACTCATTTCAGCTACTTAAAAATATATAGACGTAATTCAATTAAATTTATGGTAAAATTCGACACTATCCTCTCTTCCTTGGAGGAATATTTTAAAAAGTCTCACCCGCAGTGTCTTTCAACACTTCTCACCTCTTGAAAATTCCGACGATAAAAAAAAAACAGAAAAAACAAAACAGAACTCATCTGACTTTCGTCAACAAGTCTGTAGTGTTTTGCAGTTCAGTTCTGTCGAGCGGAGCCAGTTCCAGCTGTTGTGTAGGGGTTGTGAATCGCGAGCAACCCCTTTCCTCTCTTCAAATACTCTGTGATTTTTCCTGGCGTCTCTGTGAGGTGTGTCTTTACTTCTCTTTTCGCCGTTTTGATTCGTTGAGTAGAGTCATTGGAACTTAACCTTGCATCATCGTGATTATTGCCAAACGTTTTGTCACATCATCATGCGTCAGTGAGAGAACTCTCTGGAAGCTCTGCACCACCTAAAAACCATCTTGTACCAGGACTCACCCCTCAGTTGGATTTGGACCGTGGACGTGGGGTCGTCTAGAACTTCTTCTGTCTGTGTTTTCATTTAGTCTCTACTTCAAAGAAAATGGAGTTCCCAGGCCTTGGGGAGCATTGCTCTGAGCGATCATGCCACAAGCTTGGTATGTCATTTCTGTTTGCTGTTCATATTTTATTTTGCTAGTCTTAAATTTCTTAGTTACTAATTGGTAATAATCATCTTCTCTTCAGATTTTTTACCAGTAAAATGTGATGCGTGTCAAAAGATATTCTGGTGAGTGTTTGTTCCTTAAGGTGGTCCCACAATAGCTCCCATCAGCTAACTTCACTTCACTTCACTACATGTCACTTCTGTCATGACGTGTATGCAGGGGAATGGGTAGAGTTAATACTCCGTCCTCATTCTGTTTTTTTTTTTCTTAAAGTCAAGATCTTGGTGTAAATTAGAGAAGGAAATTTACTGTAGCAATATTAACTGTTGGCTGGCTACGTGATGTGACGCGCAGGTGAAACCATCCACTGGCGGAACTGAGAAAAGTATTAATTCTACCAATTCCTCTGAGTTATGGTTGCGACAGAAGTGACGTTTAGTTTAGTGAAGGGAGATAATGGGATAACCTTCAGTCTTTATTGGCTAATTATGTAATCATGAAATCATTCGGGTAATTTTGTATTTATGTTTCAGTCATAGTCATATGTCCTACCTCCAACATAATTGTGAATCGGCATATAAAAAAGATGTTCAAGTTCCTGTTTGCCCTCTATGCAATAATCCCGTCCCTGCAAAGAGAGGAGAACAACCTGATATAGCTGTTGGTGCCCACATAGACAACAACTGCAAATCAGACACTGCTCAAAATCGAAGAAAAGTTAGTTGAGGGGTTCAAATAAATTAGTTGTACTGCATTTGTTTTCCTTGTAATTCTAAATTTATGTTTTTAAACAGGTGTTTTCAAACAGATGTTCTGCAAAAGGCTGCAAAATCAAAGAGATGATCCCCGTAGACTGCTCTGAGTGTCTCTTAAATTTCTGCTTGAAGCACAGGCACCCAGTTGACCACCAATGTGGAGGGAAAAGTGCTGGTTTAAGAAGGAAGGCTGCGTAAGAACTCACAATCCAACTACATAGTTAATCTCCAGATGATCTTTTCGTATTTCTATATTCTGACAAACATTTTAAATTCAGGGATGCTGCGTTAGCCAGGCAGAGCTCGTCTCCCAATTCATTGAAGGGTAAATCAAAAACCCTACCTCCATCAAGTCAAAGACTTGGCAGCAAAACTCTGTCAGACGTTCAGGGAAATCTGGTAAGATCTTACAGCTTATATGCAAATAAAGACCTATATTTTTTTTCTAGATAATTAACACACCATCTATTTTTCAGAGTGAAGATGAAGCTCTTGCCAGGGCCCTAGCAGCCTCTATGCAGGAATCTTCACAATCAAACAACTCTACAGCTGGCAGTCTGACTGCTCAAGAATCAGCAGATTTGGCCTATGCCAGAGCTATTGCAGAGTCTGAACAAATGCATCAGAACTCCCAACAAGCCCAGACTGCTGGAGGATCAAGAGATAAATGTGTGTTATCCTAGTAACATTTACTTCTGCACAATTTTGACAATCTATTGCTTCTGTGAGTCAGTTTAAAGATAAAACTCTGCACAAGTTTCAGAATTTTTCAACTCCAATTTTTAATTACATATTCCCTGAGTAAACATTCCTAAAGTTGCTATATTTTTTAAATTATTTCTTTTGTGTTCAGAATTAGTTTAAAATTAGGAGCCAAAACTGTTTAAGTATGTACCTGTGTAATGATTTGATTTTAATAATCCATCATTTCCATCAAAATATATATTTTTTCTTAGCTTTTTTAAACTCAAAATCTAATATCTTTGTGCTCACTAACTTGTCAGAAACTAGAATCTTCAAAACCTTATATTAATATTTTTGATGGTCATAGTGTTTTACAATGAACCTTGTTTTTTATCGACTTCTCTGAGATTAACACTTAATTTTTGGTCAAGCACCAGCCTCACATCGTGTTTCTCCTTATCTGATAGATGGAATCCTATGTGCTCATGAGAATTGTGTGTCATTTATTCAGGTCTTAAACCTGTGGAATACTGCGTAACCTCAGTGACTGCCATTTACAATATCAAGTGTGAGGGTCTATTTTTACTGTTTCAACTTTTCCAATGTCTCGCTTTCACTACCATGATGCTTGATGCTTTGTTGTTAGTTAGTGTTTGTATTTAAGTTTCCCACTGTTTGTAATTTCTTCTAAAAGAGATGAACACTGAATTGTTTAATGTGTCTGTGAAGACATGGGTTGTGATAGCTGAGCTTAAAATACAAAATATTTTTAACTCAATGCTCGTTTCTAAAAGTTTTATTTCATCTGTCACTCTACCCACTACTTACTCAGGTGCCTAAACGTCGGCCAGGCTGGTGTTAGACTTTTGCACTTGGAAGACTATACTGAAGATTTTGAAAATCTCAATGGGAAACCACATTTTTTGTGGATTTGTTCATCTCATGCCTCAAATGAATAGTGTATTTCGACTAACGGGGGAAGAAGAAGAGCGGGTAGAACATAAACGTTACCGATTGGTCGAGAGCTTCCCGCCTCTACGTCACGCTGGTAGTGAGGGTAAGCGCTCGGCCAATAAGGAACCTTTATGTTCTACCCGCTCTTCTTCTTCCTCCGTTGGTCGAAATACACTATTTAAAGAAGGTATGAAAATAGTTATCAACCGCATGTGAGACATTATAAAAATTGCACAGTTTTGGACCATCCAATTTGCTGATTTTGAACATTTTGAGCACTGTTTCATGAAGCTTATTATTTATTTTTTATTTTATTTTCCTTCGTCTTTCATGAATTGATTTACGTTGATCACTCAATATATATTCATAACGAACCGTGCTGTGTGGGTGGGTTCGCATAGCCTCCCGCACGCTCCACTATGGAGCCCACAACACAGGGAATCGCTCGCTACCGTCGAAAAGTGTGACTAGAGAGCCACACCCGCCCATCACGGCTCATCACTCCGACCCTTTCCTGGAACTGGCCGGGGGGAGGGGGGGGGCGGAAGTGGCCGTTCTTCGCTCGAACAGACGGAACACGAGACGGGGAAGCCCCGCCGATATTGCGCAACTCCGTTCATATATACGCGTGCACGTAAAACCACCCACCCGCGAGAGCGACAGCAAACTTTAACGAGGCAAATGATGGGCAGCGGGGCAGTACGACACCCGGCTGCGCCCGGCCGCGCGCCGCCGAGGAGGACGGCCTGGACCACGCCCTCGTCGCCAGATTGCAGGCCGCTCCGAGTATAATGACGGGTCCAGCAGGTCGGCGGAGGCACGCAGGGATAGGGACGCCCCCGGCTCGGCCCGGGGTATTGGGGAGGGGAGGGGGCGCGGGCCGATGATAAAAGTGGACCTCCGCGGCCGGCCAGGCAGCAGTGGTCATTGTCAAGGCGAATCGCTATCACCATGAAGGTCCTCGTCCTGTCGGCAGCGGTGCTCCTGGTGGCACAGCAGGTAGGTGGCCGAGGAGAGCCCCTCGGAGAGCCCCTCGGAGAGCCCGCCCCCACGCTTCTTCTCCAAGTGCGCCCGCCAACACACCCCTCCCGTCTTGCTTCCAGGTGTGCAGCGCGCCGCCGCCCTTCGTGCACAGGTGCATGCAGGAGAACGGAGTCACAGGAGGTAAGCCTTTTTTTTGAAATCCCGTCGCGCGGGGTTGGGGGGCGCGTCGCAGTGTATTGGCACACGGCGATGAGTCCACCCACCCAGCTTTGTTGTCTGTGGTTGAAGGGAAAAAGTTTAGTTTAGAAAGTCAGTTTGAAAGTGTTCGCAACGTTTCACTCGGCGGCGCTAAGGGTAGCGCCTGCTACGCGCTGGGTGGGCCAACCCGCCAAGCAGGTGTGTGGCGACAGCGGCCAGCTCAGAGCGCCCAGTCCAACCCCAACAGGGAACGGGATAAAGGGGGTGGGGTGCGAAGCTTCGGACAAGTGAATGTTTGTCGCCCAACGTTTCCCGTTGCGTCAACCTGCTTAACGCCTGAAGTTTAGTGGGCAGTTATTTTTTTTTCAGTTTTTAAAATGGTTTTATTGAAGTCTAGTTAAGTTACATTTGAATTTTACGTAGGTATGCTGTTGCCCGTAGGCCTTTCAGTATTTGCTTATATGAGATAACGGGTGAAGAAGTAAGTGGTTTAGTGTTGATGAAGTGTTGGTGTTAGGGTTGGTGCTTTGATTTTGGGGTCCTCTAGCTTACCAAGGCCAGGGGAAAGAAGTCGTAGTGGGCGAGCTCTGTCGTGAGAACGCCTGATAGTTAGGCAATGGCGCACTGGCGCACACCCCTCCTGGGCCGGTGGCCTATCCCGAGGCTGACAGGCGTCCACATCGTCTCGCAGCGCGTGGGGGGCGGGGAGAACCAGGCGAACGGACGGTCGCGCGTGGGTTGATAAAGTGTTTTAGAACAGACCACGTGCGGTGGAATAGGGCCAGTGTAAATGCATCTTGTGATTGATTTGGGAGTGTTTGCCTGGACACTCTGCAAGCAGAACTCAATTAGAGTGTCTGAAAGCGCACCGATGGTAGACTCTCTCGCCCATGGCACCTCTAGCTTCTACTTCTCAACTCAAGTCTATATCCTTTTACGATAATCACCAATAATGGTTCTCGATTCAATCTTTACAGCGGATGCGATTAAGTTTGCTGAGACTGGGGAGGCGAGCGACGGGATGAAGGTGAGACAGCGATCCGTTCTAATAATCAAACGTATCAAACGTTAATTTTTTTAAAGCACAACTTAATAGCAGTGTAGCCAGTTCTAAAAACTGTTTAAACGCTTTCTTTTATTCACAGTGCAATTTCAAGTGCATCATGATGGAAGCTGGTGTCGTAAGTTTTTCGCGCATCTTAATTTGTATTGTATCATTTTGAACAATCACTGACTATACTTTCTTTCATGTTCTAGATGACCCCAGAAGGCAAGCTTATTCTGAGCCCGATGCTGGAGCATGTCCCGGAGAAGATTCACCAGGCTTTCAAGGACTGCGTCGAAATAGGTACAGAAAAAACCCCAGAGATTCTGAAGATGAAATAGCACGACCAACGAATGAAAGCGCAAAAACTTTAATCCAACATCGCCCTAACTTTTTCAGAGCCCAGTTCCGACCTGTGCGATGTGGCTTTCCGACACAACGTGTGCCTCAGGGAAAAGGCCACAGATGTAAAGTCAAACCTTATAGCTTAGTTCTTGGTGTATTTCTTTTGCATTTCATAAGTCTCACGCTGTCTGTTTTATCTTTCAGTTCTACAAGGCGATGGTGGCGAAGAAGCATCAGGCATAAGCGACAGGTGTGATTGGGGCCCCTTCCTCCCACGACTCTGTTTTATACCCCCGCCCCTTCTTCCTTCTATCTCTCTCGACAAAGTTGTCTGCCTTTCCTATCTATCAACAGAAAACGCATTTCCTGTCTGCGAATTCGACAGCGCAAATAAAGCATTTCACCTAATGCACGGCACGAGTCATTATTTCCCAGCTCACCCCTTTCGATTTATGACGCATCTAAACCAGGGAAGGTGCACGATACCCTTGCAACTGACACCCGTTCCTACACCAGGGGATTGCAGCTGAAGTTCTCTCTTTTTTTTCTTTTTTCTTTTTTTTATATCGAGGACGGTCGTTGGCTCGGTCGTTCGTTGGTCAGCCGCCCGATCGGCATGTCGTGATCCTCAATGCGTAGTGGTGTCGAGTGGGTGGTCTTCCCTCCAGGCGCGTGCCCCGCAGGACCTACTCCAGCACGAAACGCTGATGGCCAGC